ACAATCAACAATGGAGCCATGGTTATCATTAAGCTCTTAATTCTAAATTTTTATTGAATTCAAATTCTACATCTGCTGTGGCAGGATTTGACCCAGATCCCCAGAAGATTATCTTGGTCTCTTCTTCCTCTCCAAAACAATTGTTCACTTTGCTTCCCAGTCTCTCTGGCAGCTAAAATTGGGTTCTTTTTGCACAGTGTGCATTGTGTATGGTAATAGTACCATTGGGACACCCATCATCCAAAGGAGGGCAAACCTACTTTTAGGATGATTTGGTCGGAGGTCAAAGAGAGTCAGAAAGTCACAAATGCATGGAGGCATCCTAAGAAAAACTTATTTAATAGAGATGGTGCCTCAATTACAATCAGTCAGCTAGTTTTGTAGAACTGGGAAGACTACAGAAAGATAAATAGTATAAAGAGGAAGAAGAAGGAACAGAAAGGCTGGATAGGCTGGGACATTTTTCACTGGAGCATAGAGCGTTGAGAGGCGGCCATATAGAAGTTTATAAAATAATGAGGGATTTAGATAGAGTTAATGATGGTTGTCTTTTCCCTAGGATAGAGGATTTCAAGACATGGGGGCTCATTTTTAAGGTGAGAGGAGAAAGATTTAAAAAAAACATGAGGGGCAAATTTTTTACACACAGGGTGATTCGCATGTGGAATGAATTTCCTGAGGAGGTGGTGGATGTGTGTACAATTACAATGTTTAAAAAGATATATGGAAAAGTACATGAATAGGAAAGGTTTAAAAGGGATATGGGCCAGGAGCAGACAGGTGGGACTAGGTTAGTTTGGGATTATGTTTGGCATGGACTAGTTGGACCGAAGCGTCTGTTTCCGTGCTGTATGACTCCATAAGAAATTTAATAAAAAATGCAATATCAAAAAGTAAATAAAGAACCTGTGAACCATTAGTGCACAATTAAGTTTAAAAAGATCCAGAATGTTAACAAAAATGGGTGCAAACCAGCACTTAAAGTATTGAAAATAAATGAAAAAATATTTCAAGAGTGCTTCTGATTCTGCCAATGTACTTTTCACATTGCGACAATATCAAACGTATTTTCATCAGCACTTGGATTGGTTTATTAATCTTTTAATTCTAACATAGCATACATTGAAAAGCAAGTGTTGTTAACATCCCAGCTGATGGCACTCCTCGACAAGTCAGATCCCAGAACGAAACCTGGCCTGATAGAATAGGCTTGTTTTTATGCCTACATTAACTTTGCAAAAATCAATACAGAATCTTTGCAACTCATTGTTTTTGGCACCATCGTAATAAGTGAGCTCCAGCTACTATAAATCAGTTCAATATGTGATTGCCCATTAGGAACGTATTCTCATTCCTCCTTTGAGCTAATTTTTCTGAATTGAGTTCGCAAGGATGTTGTTTGTTTATGAAAAATGAATCCCAGTCATTAACATCATGTATAACTCAAGACATTTTCCTGGCCTTTTCATGGACATTGCCTTATGAGTCTCTAATAGCCTTTATAAGTCACTTCAATAAGTTTTTTGGAAAATAAACTATGACGCTATTTAACTATTTAATTACTTCTATTTAATCCAATCACATTACTGGAGGATTAAAATGTGAATTTTCAATTTCTGATTCATTCTCTCATTGCTCTGACATTTTCATTTCAGTCTCTATTTCTTTCACGATCGCAAAATAGATTTCTTTACCGTCTATCTTCCCTCTCATAATGTGTTTATAGCATATTAACATGTCACACTCTTTTTTTTGCTCGTGTTGGGAGCAGCCACAACAGGATTTTCACCATTAAGTTTCTTTTAGATTTGATAAGGTCCAGTGAACCTTTAATGGTTCCCCAGAGCCTCCATGTTTCCTCTACAAAACATGAACTTTGGCCGTTTTATCTGTTCTTTTTTTTCTCCAGTGTATGTTCGGCATTTTTCAAATGCTTTTTGGTCACCTCAAATGCTGTGGTTAGTTTCTCTCTGAAACTCAAAACATAGGTTTGAAGTGTAGTCTCTGAGCCTTAATTTCTAAATTTTTTTAAATCAATCCACGTGGTCTTCCCACCTCATGTCCATACATCAGTATAAAAGGATTGACTACTGTGGACTCTTTGGGAGCATCCCATACGGCAAACCGTAACCAGAGAAATCTTCTAAACTAATTGTAGTGATTGTAACAAGGTCAGCCAGGTGGACCTCATAGAATGAGTTCCCTGATTGGACCAGGTTAACATCCCCAATCAGGGAGCCCGGGCTGACAGACATAAATGAGAGCGTCAGAGGTTCTTTTCACCCTGAGAGCTGGCTCTGAGGAAGCCAGACCAGTGTCAAGTACTATGCATGTGTAAATAAAGGGTGATTTGGTGACAGGGTAATAGCCTCTGCAGAGTTATTTCACTGATCTTTCAGATATTCCTGACAATAATCTCTATTCATAATCTTTAAATGTTGACACCATTTTCCAACATTCCTTGAGATCATGGAAAATAATCAGAACATGTAAATTGCTTTATTTACAATCCATTGTTTCTGTGCTGCATGACTGTATGAATCTACTCCCTATTTGAATATTTGGGACACAAGATTTGAACTTTGATTTGATTTGATTTCTTTCAGTAACCCATAACTTGTAAAAATTGAACTAACTTTTACACAATCATTTTTGCAGTATGTTTCCCCACTGGTACTTCTTCAGGAAATCTTGATGATACATCCATAACTGTGATAAGTCACTTCCCATTCTAGTTTTAGGTAGAGGTCCTACACTATCTATTAAGACCTTACTAAATGGCTCTTTTAAAACTGGCATTGGGATTAAAAGCACAGGGTTAATTGTTAGCTTGGATCCCCCACTATTTGACATGTATGGCAAGTCTGAAAATATTTGACCACGTTCTTAGGTAATCCTACCCAATAAAAAAATGTTTCAGTAATTTAGCTTCTGTTTTCCTAAAAACCAAGTGACCTGCCAACCCTCTCAGTTCAAGATCCACCCGTTTCATTTCCATGAAAGAAGATGGGCTAAATGTGTCAGCCTCATTCTCTTTATATTCACCCTTTTTTTAATGTGAATTTTTGAAAATTGTACCCTATAGCTGAGTTTTCAAGTCTCCTTTTTTCGTAAATTTCTTTTCTTCCTGTTTAATTCCATGTGCCTGAGATTTAGTCACAACACAGTCAGAAAACAAACCAGAATTTTCTCCCTTAAGATTAGTTTATTTTATTTTTATTGGTCATTCTACTCTGGGCCCAATTCAAGAGTACATCAAGGGCCACAACTCAGGGCCTGGTGCTCTTGTGGGCCCCCCCACTGAACTTGGGTTGGGGATGGCTGCAATGCTTGGATCGGGAGCCACTGGCCCAGGCTAGGAGCAGCACCAGGGCCTGTGATTTCTGTTGCTGCCCCTGATCCTTTCACTCTCTGTGATGCCAATATTTTGGAACTACCCAGGTTGTTTCCCACAATGCAATAAATCCCTTTTATAGCGATTTGTTTCACTACTGCTCTGCTTTCTAAGCCCAGTTGTCTACAATGAGACTGGTTTATCTTACAGTTGTACCTGTTAAAACACTTTATAACATTAAGGTGCAAACATCTTTAGGCCACTTTATCCACCTAGTTACCTTTTAAAATGAGGTGAAATAGCTTTTGACTTCATCCTCATAAATTTAGCCACTAAGAATAGATTTTTAATGAAAAGATGGAATCAGAACAATCATCCTTTAATCTATTTCCTCTTCGTTTTTTTTGATTCATTAATGGGATGAGGGTGTAGCCAACTATGCAGTGTTTATTGCCCATCCCTAATTACCCAAAGGGCAGATCAAAGTCAACCACATTGCTATGGGTCTGGAGTCACATGTAGGCCAGACCGGGTAAGGATGGCAGTTTCCTTGCTTAAAGGACATTAGTGAAGCAGACGGGTTTTTCCCAACAATCTTCAGTGGATTCATGGTCATCACTAGATTCTTAATTCCAGACATTTTTATTGCATTCAAATTCCATCATCTGCCATGGCAGGATTCGAACCCGGTTCCCCAGAGCATTATCTAGGTCTCTGGATTAACAGCCCAGCAATAATACCACTAGGCCGTCACCTCTCCTCACACACCCCTCTAACCGGCCAAGTCAAACAGTCTGATTTCCACATCTCCTCCGAGGTTAAACTTTTTAAACTCCATCTCTCTTCCCATCATCTGCTTTAATTTCTCCTCTTTCCAATGCAAGCTTTATTTCAAGGGGAGGCAATGGCCGAGTACTATTATCACTGGGCTGTTAATCCAAAGACCCAGGTAATTTCCTGGGGACCCCGGATCGAATCCTGCCATGGCAGGTGGTGGAATTTGATTCAACAAATGTCTGAAATCAAGAGTCTACTGATGACCATGAATCCATCTGGCTCACTAATGTACTTTAGGGAAGGAAACTACCATCCTTACCTGGTATTACCTACATGTGACTCCAGACCCAGAGCAATGTGGTTCATTCTTAACTGTCCTATGGGCAATAAATGCTTGCTTAGCCAGTGATGCTCTCATCCTATGAATGAATTTTTTAAAAAGTTTACAATTCTGTTTTTCTTTCTATATCCTCCCTTTCCATAGGTCTTTTTTTCAGGTTTCCCTCTTTCAAATGTTAACACTCTCAGATTATCCTCTTTGAAAGGTTTAAAATATTCCACTGTTATGTATTCTACTCTCAGAAAACTCTTAGCAACATTCAAATCCATTTTGACTGTCCAGTCCTTGCAATGACAGCCCTGTATTATGCCCAGAATATCACTGTATCTGTCTCTTCTAAAGAAACACAGATCCCCTGTAAATTTAATTAATTCAAATCCTGCCCTACAGCCCCCGCTTGTTACGATCCCAGGTGGACAAACCAGAACCCAAATAAAAACTGATAGATGACATTTGTTTTGTTTATTTAGTTAGCACGAAGGTTAGTCACGGAGACATAGTCACATGAAGCTGCAAATTTACTTTATCAACAGACATTTATTACACACAAATAAAAGAAACAAATTAATCTATTCAAACATGGAAGACAGTTCAGAATGATTTTAAAACATACAAAACAAAATGTCAATCTGTTTCCTGACACTATCCATTATAGAGACTCAAGACCAGAGAAAGTACACCCCTTGTTCAACTCTTTAGGGCTTTTCTTAACTGGCTCCTGACAGTTTCTTTACTATGGTCTGTGGAAGGAATTCAATTAGTTCTTTGAAGTCTTCTGATATGAAGATTTTAAAAATCTAAGAGTCTATAATTTTGCAGTTCTCATAACCTGCAGATTTCTGACCAAACTTTCCTCGTTTGGAAGTTTCATAAATTAAACGCTTCTGCTTATCCTCAATGAAAGATTTAAAATAATCAACTGTTATGTATTCTACTCCCAGAAAACTCTTAGCAAAATTCATACCCATATTGATGGTCCAGTCATTGTAATAAACAGCTGAGAGTGACCTGATCTCTGAACTACCCCAAACTCCTCCTTGGAGAGAAATTAAACTTGCTTTTGAACTCAACTGTAGTGTCTTTGAAACTGAATTAAAGCCTTACTCAATCCTAGATTCTTCTAAATGGTAAACAAAGCTAATTGCCTTACATCTTTACTCAACATGTCATAAACATAACAGGGGTCTGATGTCACCTGTGTTTTCAGGCAAATGCTGGATTTAATCTGGAAGGACTCTCTGAATTTGTTCTTCCTAAAAAGAAAATCCTCAGAAGTAACCAGCACCCATCTACTTCAATTTTTAAATCCAAATTCTAAAAATGATATTAACATGCAAATTGTACATCAGTGTGCATTTACATGTTTATGCTTAAATGAATTTGTACAGAAAGTAAACAGTTAAACTTCAAATTTTAGCATAAAATACATCAAACTTGCAGAACATGAGCTAGTTAACAAAACTGGAAGAATTCCTGAACAATTTCTTTCATCATCTCAAAAAGGTACTTTACAGTTATTTTTCCTTCTTAGTAGTTTACCTGCTTTTATCTTTTAAACTTAAAAGTTTTAAACACTGGATTTTTTCCTTGAAAGAACATTCTTACTTGGAACATGTTAAAATATTGGATACAAGGTTTGAATTCTACTTCTTTCCTTTTGTAACACTTATAACTTCACAATCAAAATCCAAATGATTTGGTTTCTTAAAAAAAAAGTTTTACTCACAACTTATGAGGATTTATAATGACCCTTTGAGAAAAATAGCTAGCTTTGGCATTTGGTTCTCATTCATATCTGTTGAGTTTTCAGTGAGCATTGATTAGCCCCAGCCAGGAATCAAATAGGAACTAAGGTTTCTACAGCACTCAACATATGACATTATAACACAACCTAGTCAGATGTTGCAAATGAGTTATTTTTCCCTTACTACTTATGTAAATCCATGTTACCCTTTCACCCCAATGGCTTGTCAGAGATTTTCAAGTAGCAATTATCACCTTTTATGTAAAACATAATCATCACACCTGTAAGTTCTTTGAAACACAAAAATAACGACTGAATCCTCAATTTAGGCACTTCTTGCAGCTACAAGTGGATGTAAGATAATTGGTAAAAGAATTAAATGCTGCATGAGGCAAAATATGTATTCAGGAAGTAATGATGATCTGAACTCGCCATCAGAATGAGTGTTGGAAACAGGTTCAATATAATATTGTAAAGGGAAATGGATGAACATATAAGGGCAAACACTTGCTTTGGAAAAGCTCAGGGGAGTAGGATTCATTAGTTATCTCTTTCAAAACCCAACACAGTCACAATGGCTCAAAAGGCTTCCTTTAGAACTGTATCAATCTATGAGGTAGATCCACAGGTCCTGGTGTTTTGAGCAATGCAGGGCAAATAAAGGAAGTTCCTACATTACTCCCTAAAAGGTGATTGGACAAAACATTCAGTATTCGCAGAAGACTTTATTCTTAAAACCATTCATTAACAATTTCATTTTTACCTCATTACAAAGTACAGATTATCTTTAAAAAATAGTTATGAATAGCAAGGGTTCTAGGTGCTTTCTTTTAACTCAGGTTAACAAAAAGGTTGGGCTGCTGTTAACTCGCAATATATTCCAGAAACGAGGATGACTGAATTAAAAATGAATCAAAGGGAAACAGTTAAGATACATTACATCTGCTGCATTATTTTCTCTCTCAGCAATAATGTAATGGAATCTTCATGCCAAATTTCAAGCATTTATAATCAATCAACAAGCCTTCAGTCCTCCTAGCAGCTTAAATCATTCTAAACTTTGTAAGTCTACACTTGCATAAAATGATTTCAGGTCTTTGTCATCAAGGATTTGCCTTTGAATGCACTGTTGATTATTTGCTTGCAAGAATGCTGACTGATTGCCACTTCTTATCCGTCTTCTCACTAGGAGTACTTCATTTTCTGCAGTGCTTCTGCCCGAACAGCAAGACTCTTACCACAAATGGTCAAAAGCACAATCAGGACACCCACCAGGAGAGTAAGGAGAGGCCAGAGTACACAGTGCAAAAGAACATTTTCATCATGGGCACGCTTCAAAAGCGCATCATCAGGTCTACAAAAGAATGCAAACACAATCTAAGTGAGCAGTACACTTGTTGAATAAAAAGAGTACACAAATAAATATTTCAACAATTTAACCATTAAGGAAGAAAACTGCTTATTCAATTACAAATGGCAAAACTGCCCTTTTCTCATTCCGAAGAGTCCTATTGGATTTGAAACATTAACTCTGCTTCTCTTTCCACAGATGCTTCCAGGCATGCTGAGTATCTCCAGCACTTTCTCTTTAATCTCTTTTATAAATGTCTAACCACTTTTTTTTTCAAACTTGCAGTAATTTGCTGATGTTGTCTCATCCACTGAGCAGGGCTGCAATTATTGCAAGTTTCTAGAGATCACTTTCACAACATCAACTTATATAACTTTAAAAGTCTTTAAAGTAATGAAACTTCCCAAAGCACTTTATAAAACAAAGTACGACACTGAGCTACATATCATAACTGAAAGCTCTGCAACACATCCATCGAGCGGTTCATGGGCATGGAGATGGGGTTGTCTTTGGCATGCACTCTTCCTCCTGCTGAGACCCATATTCCTTCCTGGAGATCATCTGCCACACAGTGGCACGGCACCATCCTGGCCTTTTCCAGCATTCCCCTTCCTTCACAAACCACTGGGACATTGCTTCAACTGGAATTTCTGTTATTCATCAGCCAGATTCCAGTACGCACAATCATGAATTTTGAGTATCCCAGGCAACCAATAAATTCTGATACCGAACTTGTTAAAACTTAAAATGATTCACAAATAGAAGGAACTAGATGCTGGTGGCGAAATTTCTTAGAATCATTAGGCATACGCAATATGGCATCCAGGATATATTGCACTAGAGTGTCTGCATATGTGATAAGCTCCATTTCAGAACTGTGAGGGGCCTTGGGATGCTGCATCTTCTCAAGGTCAGCTAGGGATGGACAATAAGTGCTGGCCAGCCAGCAACACCCACGTTCCACGAAAGAATAAAAAATATTAGGTGTTTTTCAATTAACTATGTTACCACATAGCTAACTAAATCAGTAACTATTTCTGCATAAACATAAGCAGAATAATAAAAATAATGGACAGAAGTTATAAAACATTTCAGGAAATAAGTCCAGAAAATTAGTTAATTATAGTACAGATACATGAATAACTGTGCCTTTCTCACTTCTGTTAATGTGGCCTTTCAAACCTACCTGTTTGACCGAGCTTCTGGTCCTCTGCCCTAGTATTGTTTTATGGATTTGGTGTCAAATTTTGTTTGCGAACATTCTTCTGAAGTGTCTTGAGATATTTTACCATGTTCAAAGTATAACGTACATGCAAGTTTTTATATGATCAATTTCTACATCTACCACACGGGCATTAAAGTATCATCTGGGTGAAGCTCAGACAGGAGAAATCAGGTGTGGATCATGAAACTACAAAGCAACAGATTTTTCTTATATTCCTTTCAATAGAAGATTTGAGTGTGTTAACTGAAGGCATGCAAACCTCGACAAAACACCTTCCTTTGTGCGTCATTCAGATAGTACTTAAAACTCTTAAAATCAATTGTTGTTGGCATAACAATACTGTAACATTTCTAATATGCTTTAAAACTTAAAACTCTAGCTGTGAAGACAAATATCTATATCATTTGCATCTTCATATCAAATGTACAAGTCATACTCAACCAATGTGCTGTAGGGAATTTTCTTAATTCTGCATATTGAATAAAATGTATTAAATTCAAGGTGCTTTGGATGTAAAAAAAATATTTCTGTGGTTGTGCCCAGGGGATTTTCTCAGTCTTACCTTCGTTGCTGATTTATATAGCACATAAAAGTCTGTGAGCCTATTTCTTCCTTCCAATAGTCATGCCAACGCATAACATTCTCTGAGTTTTTCTGATTGTCTCTTTCACAAGGAGGAATGTAGGAACACTGTATAAAATGAGAATTGTGTTATCACATTAGGCTTGTGTAAAGATACATGAAATAAGTAAGGTTGTAAAGAAAACATTAACAAGTAGCAGTACATTCAATTAGTTTACTACTGCGTCCTTTGTTGGTCATACTCAAACAGTGAAATATAATGCTGTCACTCAGACGTATTTCCTGCAGATTTACCAGTCCATCTCATGTGGGTGACGCAACCTTTTAACTGATGGAAATATCGGATGCAAATAAACATATAGTTAACATCTATAAGGTCAATAGGTGTCCATGTTGGCACCTTCCATCAGAACTCAGTAGATTAGGTGAAGGGAGTGAAAGTAATAACAGGAGAGTCTATCTCATAGAGGGAGCTCTCTTTCTTTTGATTTCCAATTTAGTTGAAAGGAGCACACCTAAAACATGACGTGCTGTTAGAAACATCAAAAGACTGATTCCAAAATGTTTATAGTAAGGTAATTATTTTAGATCCATCTTAATTCATTCTTCCAGAAACAACTTAGGAGCTGGAATGTCAGCATTGAATTGTTTCAAGTATTTTCACCTTCATTGTGTTACCTGGAAGGTCATCACACATGTTGATCAATCTTTCTTAATATTAGTCCTTGTATTTTCTCTGAACAGTTTGGGCACCCCCTCATCTTAGTTTTAGAAGTTACTTTAAAGTAATGTTCTAGATTTATGGCTTCCATTCCCTAAAATAAATTTGCAAGGTCACTTCTCAGATTTTATTTTAACTCCATACAGCAAAGCTTAAAAACTTTCTCCAGCTTTTCTGCAAATTTCAGTTCCTTGGCCCCAGCAATCAGGTGTTTGATTCTTCTTTGTGCTTCCACCATTGTCTGTCTATTTGTATTATCGACATATCCTATCAGGTGGCCTGATGGCAGTTAGACCAAGATAACCAGCAGAACTTCTGAAGAACAGTCACTGGACCCCAAACATTAACTCTGCCTTCTCTCAAAAGATGCTGCCAGACCTGCTAAGCTTTTCCAGCTATTTCTGATTTTGTTTTTGGTAATCTTCCTGCCCCTGAGTAAGAGGCCTTGGTTCAAGTCCCATCTGCTCCAGAGCTGTATATCATCATCACTGGTTAGATTGATTAGACAACATATCCTGACAAAAAGGGGGGCTCTTGTGGTGCAATGGTAGTATCCCTACCTCTGAACTAGGTGACCTGGGTTCAAGTCCAAACTGTTCCAGCAATGTTTAATAACATCTCATTTATTTGGGAAAATATCTACACTAACAAAAGGTTCTTCCAGTGCAGTGGTATTGTCCTCACCTTTGGGCCAGGAGTACAATTTTAAAGTCCCATCTGCTCCAGAGATGTGTTAACATCTCTGAACAGAATGATTTAAAAATATTTAACCTAATGAAAGGAGGGGTCCTAAGGTGCCATGGTAGTATACCTACATCTGAGCCAAGAGGCTTGGATTCATGTTCCATCTACTCCAGAGGTATGTAATGATAGCAGTGAACAAGTAGCCTAGAAGATATCCAACCTGATGAACTGGAGGGTCCTTGTGGCATAGTGGTAGTTTCACTATCTCTGGATCAGAAGGCCTGAATGCAAGTCCCAACTACTCCATAACTGTGCCATAACATGCCTGAACAGGTTGATTAAAATCTTATGGGGGAGTTGATGGCCTAGTGGCATTATCACTGGACTGTTAATCCAGAGACTCAGATAATGTTCTGGGGACCTGGGTTTAAATGCTACCTGGGCAAATAATGGAATTTAAATTCAATAAAATCCTGGAATAAAGAGTCTAATGCTGACCATGAATCCATTGTCGATTAGTTCACGATTGCCCTTTCTGGAAGGAAACTGCCATCCTTACCTGATCTGGCCTACATGTGAGTCCAGACCCATAGGGATGTGGTTGACGCTTAACTGTCCTTCTGGACCAATTAGGGATGGACAATAATTGCTGGCCTAGCCAATGATATGCTCATCTTGTGAATGAATTAAAAAATATATCTACCCTGACAAATACTTGCAGTGATGATCTGTGTGAAGAAGATTGTAATATATTGGTATTTTGGAATTTGGGATGTAAAGAGGAGGGGAAATGGATTTTAGTTTTCTGTTCAGTGAAGATCTGACATTTGGTCAGAAATTCATTTTAAGCAGTGAGTTCAAAACAATATTTTCAAGACAGCATATGATTGTAGCTAAATATCTAGTAAGCCACCTGTGGAGATTATGCTAAAGTACTTAGTGGCTTGAGTTTTACAACCCAGAGGGTGATACAGAAACAGAGAGAGAAGAGGTCTACAACAGTGGAGGTACTGTTATTAATTAATAACTACTGCTATTATTGCATGTAGTCATTGAAGGAAAGCAGTCTTGAGTTACTTAAAAGTCAAATGGGAAGAAAACTCCAGAAAGCGGACTTGTGGAGGTTTCTTAGAATAAAACATCCTACAAGGCTGTTGAAGATAGCTGTTTAGGGAATTAATATTGAGCAATACATGAATGAGTTAGTAGCCCATTTTAATAGTCTTGATGAAAGGCATTAAAAATAAGCATTGAGTGAATGCACAGCAGAAATTTGCACTAACTAGAACTAATTACAGCAGTTTCAGCTGAGCAAGAAGACACAGCATGGAGATGGGATGACTTTTCACTGAGATTTGAGGGTCTGTAAGATTATCGTTGGGTTAAAGAGGTTGAATCTATCTTTCTGATATTGTAATATAGATTGTTCTTCTAGTTATTATATAGAGTAACATTGAGTTATTTTTATCATTGGTGTGATAAATTTTAATGTTCTTTGTTAAATGTGAATATGGTCACTGGCTGATCTCTATGGTAAACAAAGAAGAATAATTAAGCTTATGATCTATCTATCAAGAATAGTAGGAACTGCAGATACTGGAGAATCCGAGATAACAAGGTGTGGAGCTGGATGAACACAGCAAACCAAGCAGCACCAGAGGAGCAGGAAAGCTGACATTTTGGGCCTAGACCCTAGAAGATTTCCTGCTCCTCTAGTGCTGCTTGGCCTGCTGTGTTCATCCAGCTCTACACCTTGTTATGATCTATCAAGTCAGGTTTCACTCTGAGATTTGACTTATCCAGTATTTCTTTCAGCTGGAATCATAACAAAGAGATTGAGAGGATTGACTTTAGATCTCCAACAATCCAATCATCTTCCTTTGTGCTGTGCATGATTCCAACCAGTGGGAAACATCCTCCTACCCCAACCATCTGACCCACAAATCCCAATAACTTCAGCTTTGATAAAGACTCGCAAAGCCACACTTGGTCCAACACTATGTTGGTGTCATTGGTATTCACTGTCACTCACCAAGCAGGTTTAATATTTTTTGTCCATTTTTAGACCAAGACTACAATGCAGTCAGGAGCCATAACTGACTGAGCTCTGATAGAACCTGAACTGTGCATCAGGGAATAGGCTATTACTGTGCAATTGCCATCTGCCATCACATTGGACATGATCAAGAGGAGGAAGAGGAGGTGCCAATTGATCAGATTGGATTGCTGCTGGTTTTGGTGGGCAGGGCATACCTGGGTAATTTTGTACACTGGCCCAGAACAGTTTGCTGAGGGGCACAGCTGGATGTGAAGCATAAATCTTTAGTACTATTACAAGGACCTTGTCAGGCCTAAAGTCTTTGCAATGTCCAAAATCATCAGCCATTTCTTGATTGGCAAGAAACAAATTTAGAGGAGAACAATAAATTTGATTGGAATAATACAGTATTTATTACAGTGGAATATCTTAGAAAATACTTGTTAAGCAGCTTTATAAGACTTTGGAACAAGAACAAAGTTGCTAGAAAAGCTCAGCAGGTCTGGCAGCATCTGTGGAGGAGAAAACAGAGTTAACGTTTCGGGTCCGGTGACCCTTCCTCAGAACTGAGGAAGGG